AATGCCGGACAATGTTCTCCAGAGCTGCACCCTCTATGATGTGGAAGTTCAACTCTGCCCAGTACATACCCCACTATATCAGTTTAAAACTGATGAAAGTTTATGTGTCAAGGATCCGATCACCGGCAACTGCAAAACAAGTATTGTTCCGTGTGCTCAGTCATGGTCTCAACTTCAAAGGACGAATACTTACCTTTTCTCCTGTTGTCATGAATGTCCTATAAGAATAATGTGTGATCAACTCATATCGGCGGAGCGACTCACCGGGGCCGGTGTGATAACGCTCGGAAACGGCTGCGTCATCAAGGGCGAATCTGTCACCATAATGGCGCATAAGCAACTCTCCAATAATATAAACATAAAACCAGACATCTTGACGTCAGACATACCGCCTATAAATAATATAATAAATGTCACTAGCCCTGACTCTCCCATGGTAATGACTCCTAGTGGTTTACAAAAGGATCTAAAGCTACTCGGAGACCGGATTAGAGAAATAAAATCTCAGCCTGGCGTAGCAGATGTCGTCTCTTACCACGACGTTCACCAGTACGTCGCCATCTACGTGTTGCTGGGAGCAGCCATCGTTGTCAGCCTCGCATGGGCGAGCCACCGGGTGCGCGCCTCCTCCACGCGTAGCGACATAGACGCTACATATAGTGCTAGTGCTGGTGTGCAGTGTGTTAGTGTTAAAGAGTGCGTATCTGATTCAACCAATTACAGTGAAATAAAATCTGAAGGGCCTAGTGCGTGTGATACAAAAATCGAAAGGCCCAGTGGTAGTGAAAATACAAAAAAGTGCCAAGTTCGGTTTAATACTACACCAGTGCCAAATTTCCGCACCCATTTTAGACAATCTAATTAATTTATTATTATGTACTAACAACTTATTGTTCTTTCATCTTGTTAAGCACTTCACCACATTATTATTTACTTTGCACTTTACTAATAATAGCTATAACTTTCCTTTAATTTCTATTGCATACCACTGCATTTTTCTCTCCCCCGGGAGCATGTACGGGTTTAGCCGCACATTAAACTCATATTAAGTAGGTTAACGCGTCAGCAATATGACCCGCTGCGCGACTTATTACTTTATAATTTATTAATTTCATTGTTTCGCAATAATAACATATTGAATCTATAATTAGTGTCTATCCGGTAGCCTTACCAACCGCGCGTACTCACTCTTACCTTTTCACCATACGTAAACCATTCTTTCACCATACTTTAACTTTAGTTTTCCTGTTTATGGACTTTGTTATAGTAGTGTAAATTATCTCAATAAACTCTCAGTAATTGTTTCCAGTGACTTTCTATTTACCAATCTCTTCTCTAAAGGTGTATAATCCGTACAATGCCTGTATTCGGGCAGCTTTCTTTTGTTTACCCGACACCGTCTTCCAGCCCGTATTCCAGTGTAAATACTGTAATCCGTTTTCGCGTGCCCGAATTCGAGTAATGTTTTTCTTGCACCCGAATGTAATGGCGGCATGACTCAACCTACAAAATTTGTTTCTTAGGTTTTCACGCACATCACTCATTAAATAAAACTAGTTTTTACGTTTTTTTATTTTTATTAAAATAAAAGTTTTATTCTGACGACGTAGCCTGTAAAGGCTACGAAACGTCAATAAATAAATAAAGTTTTCGTGCATTAACCCGTAAAAACTAGTTTTATTCAACCTACAAAAATATTTCATTGTTAATTGCTTATATATTCCTCGATCAAACCATTGCTAAATCACGAAGAAGGTGACAGTGTCAAGTATCTTTCGCTACCCAGACGTATGCTTGGATCTTGGAGTAGATATTTTTCGAGTAAAGTTTCTTAAGATTTAACAATGTAGCAGCTTAAGACTCCATCGACAGGCATATCGATTCTATCGATAGGAAAAAAAACTGATACTATCGATAGACTTCATTATTATCTAGATCTGCTTCAGATTAATTTATTTTTTATTAATGTGTTCGCCTGTGCGGGGCACGGTGCCCAGAAGACTGGCAGCGTTGCCTCGCTGTATCGCCAAACTAATTCTTTGAGCATAAAAGCTACCAGATCTTGGGTCCCCCGTAGCCTCGCACAGGCGAGCATTCATATCCTTATTTTATTTTTATGTTTTAATTTATTTAATTTATCTATCAATAGTCGTAACAGCACTCTATCGATATTAAACGAAAATTGTAGAAAATACTTCATGTTTGCGAAATATCGTAACTTTCCTTGGGACCATTAATGCGGTTTTTATTACAGGCGTGCAGATCTCGGCAATATTTTCTAGAAGAAAGGTGTAAATGTTCGATTTTAATTTGAACTTAGGTAATGGATATATTATTTTTTACTATTTATATTATTTAATAGAACCGATGGGTTATATTGTGACTATTTTCCAAGCCAGCGTTAAATCCAATCCATTAGTGGAATAGTAAACGATTTGTCAGGTTTAAAGAATTTGTTAAAATTATTCTCTTTACGAGTTAGGGAGTGGAACTCCTTGCCGAGGTCTGGGCTAATATAATCTGGACATCTTCAAGGCCAGAGTGAACAGGGATCTTCTAGGCAGGCGTGTACCATCCTAGGCCTCATCGCTTTCCATCAGATGAGATTGTGGTCAAACGCATTGCCTATTTTGCATAAAAAAAGTACATCAACTAGTGGTGAAATTATAATATTCCCCTTGCCAAGTGCATACGATATATTCTAGAACGTGGATACAAAATAAAAGATCACTGAATTAAACGTAGCGCAATTATCAAACACCCGGACAGTAAAAATTTATGAAGAAAAATCACATCTGCATTTGGCCCCCAATGGAAAGTCCAGTACTCCTTGGAAATGAGTCCTGCTAAGACAACAATATTGACCTTATAACTAAAATTAAATTTATATTAGCATTATGATTAGGCACCAACAATTATTATCAAGTCAATTTTAACAATAATATAGAATTAAGAGTTATCAAAAATATTCGCTTTTCTGTGAAAGATCGACAGCTCGGAAAAGTTTTTAGGTAGTCTGTGGCAGTACCCGATTTTTTATTGCGTTCTCACATTGTGCCAATACAATTTAATGCGTTGGGGGATGAAAGGTAATTTTACGTCTTTTTTTCCTTTCCTTGGAATGAGTTTGTAACGACGTTTCAAAATGTAACGGGTGTGATGGGAATAAAGGATAATTTGGGTTGGGTGAGGTCGTGCGTGATATTGTTATGTCACCTAAGGGGTTTGTTTCTGCTAGTAAAGTTAAAAGTCAAAAAGGATGGGAAGCAAGCACATGGCTCGCACAGGGCCAGATTTAAGACAGTACAAACGGAGCTACAGGCCAAGTGTCCCCACAACAGAGATAACAACCAAACTTTGACGCAAATTAATGTCCATGGATGCAAAATTTAAATACGTTTTCGTTATGGGGCCTCCACTCCTTCGTTGATCAATATTTGGCTGCAGACACAGGTATGCCTGTTTACCGCAAAGGGAATTTTCCATTTGTCGTATTCCCACTTTTGAAGAACACTCCTCTAACTGCCTCAGCTAGTATTAAAATTCTTGGCGTTGAAATATCGAGCAACGACCAAATAAGAGGTCTATTTCATAAGAAGCTAGAAGTGCGTGTTCCATAGATTAAAGAAGGTACTGGCAAGGTTTTACACCGGCCCACCGACTTCAACTCTATAAGGCACAAGTTCAGCCTCAAATTATGTATGAGCCTCATCTCATCACTCCAGTAGCAGCTTCGTCCTCTGGATCGCATTCACAACCGAGCCGCTCAAATTATCGACGACCAGGGGGCCATTCACCTAACGGAAATGCTTTGGAAAACGCTAACGTTTACGATTTCATTTTGTTATTTCTAGCCACCTGAGGTTTTCAAATGCCTCGCGCTTTTTTTCTATTGCATTGGTAATAACAATATAAAAAAAATGAGAGTGAGGTATTTGGAAACCTTTGGCGGCCAGAAATAACAAAATAAAATCGAAAGCGTTACCGTTTTCCATAGCATTTCCGTTAGGCGAATGGCCCCCAGAACCTTTCCGATCAGCTTTGGGTATGGATGTAGCTTCGCTCTGCATCATCTACCACATTAATCATGGGGATTGTTCTAAGGAATTGTTCTGATTAATTCCAATGCTACTTTTCGTCATTGAACATCGCGACCAAAATTTCATCCCTATCATCTTGATGCGTAGTTAGAGACCTAGAAAAAATTCTAAAAAATTGTACAACCGTGCGATTTTGTCGATTTTTTACCATGTACGACAAAACTGTGAAAATGTTGCCGCGATCAGTGCTTCCGGATCAATACGACCCAAAAAACCACCAAAAAAGAACGTACTGATTCCTTTAAAGGCTGACATCTCATTCGTCATACTTCTGGTGTTGCAAGTGCCTATGGACGACGGTGATCACTTATCAAGTGGTGAGCCGTCTACTCGTATGCCCGTTCTCTTCAATATAAATTAGTGTTTTGTTTTTAATTAATCTGTATGTATGTCTTATGTTTTTTTATGCATTTTACTGCTAGATGTTTAAATCTAAAGAAAAGTTTTACTAGAAAAAAAACCACGTGGACCAGGCAGCGGACGGGACTCGAACCCGCACCCTTCGCAATCCGGGCGAATGCACTGACCAATTATGCTACCACGGCTCTGATGGCCGCGTCGAAATCTTCCTAGCATTAAGCTGCAAGGCAGCGCCATCTCTTCGCATTGTAGGTAACCCACAATGTCAAATGAATATTTTTTCAAGTATTAAACATTTGAAAGAAGAAATAGCAATTATAGTTATGTTTTTTTTAAAGCATTTAACTGCTAGATGTTTTAATCTAAAGAAAAGTTTTACTAGAAAAAAATCCACGCGGACCAGGCAGCGGACGGGACTCGAACCCGCACCTTTCGCAATCCGGGCGAATGCACTGAATCTGCTCTTAATAGGTGCTCCAATATCATTGGTCAAAACCGTATGTTAATGACTGTAAAGTTCGTTATAGGACTAATACTCACGTCTCTTTTTCACTTGCTCAATGCCATTTTCGGTACACGGCTCTTTTAGTACCTGGAAGCAAATTTTTGAATTAAAATCATTTATTTGTAGACGACCAAAAAATAAATAATTTTTCCTACATCATCATCATCAATCTAAAAAAGTACCCACTAATGAGGCACATGCCTTCCCAATGGATGGAATAGAAAGATTGGGGAATCACCAATCACACCACATGCGGGATGGATAGGTATCAACAAAAGCAGCTGCAACTGAGACTGAATGCCTTCCGAAGCAAGGAAGATCTAGATATAGTTTTGCATGAATAAATATATTCTTTTTTGCATTATAGACAGTTTTACAGTGATACTAATATATATAGGAATGCACAAGACAAAAGGCGTTATTATTGCTAAGGTTTCTCTTAATCTTCAGCAGGCAACCTTTGTTAGGGTAGACGAGTCCTGGAGTGGAGATCGCGTCTAGGCAAACGTTAACTAGTGTAGGACGTCCTCAGGCACGATGGAGTGAAGATTTGCGCAAGGTGGCTGGCATGAGCTGGATGCGAGTAGCCCAAGATCGATCTGAGTGGCGTGCATTTGGAGAGGTCTATGTCCAGCAGTGGACTAAGATAGGCTGATAATAATGATGATGATGATGAGGCAACCTTTGGCTAAACGAAACCGTACCAAAGAGAAAAACGAACTGCGGGCTAGTACATTGTAATTAAAAAATCTATAGGTATTTAACGAATATTAAAGTAATAAATCTTAGGAGAATAGATCAGGCTGAGTACAGCTTTGGTCGAACTCGAGAAATCCTCCTAAGAACATGCTTTAAAAATCATCGTCATGCCAAGTGCGGTATGCCAAATAAATTTCGGAACATAGATATTTATATATTAGTATTATTTATTTATTCAAATTTTATTTATATTTGGCTATCTGGCAGCGTCTTGTTGCTCCGAAATATATTTGGCATAAATAACTAAAATTGCACGACGATTATTTTTAAAGCATGTTTTTTTTGTAAATATAACCCCTGTTTGGCCGAATGGCACACTTTTAATATCGCAGAATTTTATAAAGAGAAAGTTTTTTGGGACTCTTTGATTGAAGGTAAGTTTTTGTTATATATTCATTTGAACAATAATGTTAAAATCATTTGTGAATTTCTAATCTGTTTAATGTGATTAAATTATTAGTTAATTGAAATGCCCAATTTTACTTAAATTTGTACTCGAGCAATGTTACGAACAAAAACATTAATAAACTGTTACAAAAGATTAAACAATGTCACCGACAACTATCTTCTTTGTGTACAGGCCACAATAATTAATATTCTTGCGTAATCATGGGTTAATAATTGACTGCAATGAATTTATTTGCATTTCTGATTCGCAATCACAAGAAGGAGGTATTGAAATATATCAATACACAAGATAAAAAAAAATATAAACGTAACGACCTTCAGGTCAACAGTAATTAATCGCTTTGTAAACAATCTAATTTAGATTATGATTATGTAACATCTCAATGTTATTTTAAGTCAAGGTCAGTTCGACGCTTGGAGGTGCAGTGAGCACAACACAAGTAAAAATGATAACTATCGCGCTTAAAGTGATACTTGCGATCACTTTTTACATTTACAATGTGAGGAATTTCGGTTGTTGGAAAAAAAGAGGTATCAAGCATGACAAGCCAGTGATTTCATTCGGAACTAATACTTGGAATATTCTCATGAAGATGAGCCGAAGCGAATTGGCTGAAGAGCTGTACTTCAAATACCCCAAAGAGAAAGTCGTTGGATTTTACAGGTCTTCGATGCCGGAATTGTTGATTAGAGATCCAGAAATAATGAAGTGGATTCTGACTTCTGATTTCAAGTGTTTCTATGGACATGGTTTCCATACGTACAAAAAAAAAACAATAAACGATAAGACACTAATCTAACGTAAATGTTAGGATATCTATTGTCATACTCTATTGAAGTTCTAAAATAAATATGTCGGCGGATGGCGTCTCACTCGCTTCTTCGAAACGTTAAACAGACAACAAATGTCATCAGTCAGTGTACCATTGCTTTGTGAAACGTCAAGTAATGACAGTGACAGCTGTCATCACTTGGGAGTGGTCTATGCTAAGGGTAGTATTTATGGGGCTATGCTTCATTGGAAGGGGCATTCGGCATTCAGACGTGAGCCGCGGTAGTGAACAGACGCACGGAACTCTCCGCGCTTCACAAAGCAATCCGTTTGTACCTTGGCAATCATAATTGATTTTGTTAAGTAATAAGAAGATTCAAATTAAACGTTAGCTTGGTCACTAGACTACAGTTATATTTTCGGGAAATATCATTAAATAACCAAGATGGCGGATCAACACGAGCCACGTGGCCAACCGTCTATCCCGCTCGCCCCCTCCGACAAATACATAACATTGACTGTGTGTTACCCCATCAACTTTTGTAATATCTGATCGTAGTAAGTTTAATTTTTAAATGAAACACATAGGGCCCTATAGATGGAATTGGCTTACCCTACGGATGGAATAGAAGGGTCATGATACATTACGTAAGGTCAGCGTGGATTGGTTGCTAATGACCGAGGATTTGAGATAGAGCTCCATCTCAAATCCTATTAGATATCCTATTAATATTATTTTATAGACACATGTCCTGTAAAAAGAAGATCCCTGAAGGAATCAGAAAGGCTCGATCACTTAATTCCTTTAGCGATCAAGTTAAAAGCTATCCTCCTTTCCGATTCTTAAATATTTATATAAGGATTATCTCCTGTATTTACTTTTGAACCCCTCTATATTTATCTATATTATTATTCATCTTCCGCCATAGGTTGCCTGGAAGAGATTGCTGTTTAGTAATAAGGACGCCTGTTGTACTCTTTCTTCTGTTTTATTTGTTTATGTCTTGTGTCCTTTGTTGTGTGTAATAAAGAATATTTATTACTATTATTATTATTACTATCGATGGCGCAGGGGATTACCGCTTTCGGCCTTTGATCATAGTAGTTATGAACTTTCGCAATAGTTAACATCATTTACGGTGCCATTCTCGACTCCAACCCCTCTAGCATGACCACCGAAACGGGATATGATAAAGCGATATATCGACATTAACTGTCAGACTACTGTCAAACTCCATAGTAGTCTGACAGTTAATGCCGATATATCGCTTTATCATATCCCGTTTCGGTGGTCATGCTAGAGGGGCAAATCTTACTAGATATATTGTTAACAGACGCTTATTATAAAATTAGGTATATTGCTGATAATTAAAGACTCACAGTGTTATTATTGAAACTGGTTATAATGGGATAGTAATCAGTGTAATGATGATGACTAACAGTAATATGCCGACATTATTGTTTTGTATCTATTTTTAAACAAATTATTACTAAATCTGTGGTTTGTTTTCATATTTATGAAGTTTTGTTTCTAGTTTATTAAAAACAAATGCGATACACATTATTAGGTACTCATATTCATAAAAAAAAAATATTAGACACAAATTCTATTCGCATTCAAAACCGCATCTTTGGTCTGGTTAGCGGAAGAAAAATTCCAATTGGTCCAAATTTAATGCCGGCGCCACACATGTGTTCAAAGATGTGACCAAATACGTGTTCACACGTGTGGCACGGGATGCTTTTGTCACATATTTGAATACATAAGTGCGCTTCGAAATTTTCCTAGCCTTAAGCTGCAAGGCAGCGCCATCTCTTCGCATTGTAGGTAACCCACAATGTCAAATGAATACTTTTTCAAGTATTAAACATTTGAAAGAAGAAATAGCAATTGTAGTTATGTTTTTATTTTAAAAGCATTTAACTGCTAGATGATTAAATCTAAAGAAAAGTTTTACTAGAAAAATATCCACGCGGACCAGGCAGCGGACGGGACTCGAACCCGCACCCTTCGCAATCCGGGCGAATGCACTGACCTGTTACCACGGCCCTAATGGCCGCGTCGAAATTTTCCTAGTCTTAAACTGCAAGGTAGCGCCATCTCCTCGTATTGTAGGTCACCCACAATGTCAAATGAATACTTTTTCAAGTATTAAACATTTAAAAGAAGAAATAGCAAATATAGTTCGGTTTTATATTTTTTTTAACCATTGAACTGCTAGATGCTTAAATCTAAAGAAAAGTTTTTTTTTTAAGGAAATAGCAGAAAGGTTGGTCGACGTCACAGGAGACCGAAGAGCTGGCAGCTACCTCGGACAAAGAATTATTCTAGCTATTCAAAGGGGGAACGCTGCCAGTATCTTTGGAACCTTGCCTAAAGGGACTCTTTTTAAGTAAGTAAGTATTTCCAACACTCACACCAATTAGCCTAGCCCCAAAGTAAGCACGATAAGGCTTGTGTTATGGGATACTAGGGTAACGGATAGAATACATAAACTGTACATATATAAGTATATTTTTTTTTTATAGAAATACATATTAAACATCCATGACTGAAGTACAAATGCTCGTATTCATCACACAAACATCTGTCCCCACCGGGATTTGAACCCGGGACCTCTCGAGTCGGCGACACCATGAAACCCGGCGTACAAACCACTCGACCACGGAGGTCGTCATCTTTTTAGTGATGTATTTTAGTTATTATATATTCTAAGGTTTTTTTTTAGTTTTTTAGTCAATTTTTCCATTAAGGGGTTGTTTACACCCCTTAAAAATAATAGGCGGAGTTCAGATCATTTTCACTTTTGAAGTTAAGGGTAAGATGAGCCTAATTCCAAAATTTCATGCAAATCGGTTCACAGTTAAAAAATTCGGAGGTAAGACCGTATTTTTCGCTTCAATGACTGCACTATTTGGATTTTAGACGAGCAGAGTCATCATTATTGTCATAATATACTAGCAAACCCGGCGAACTCCGTTTCGCCACCAGATGGCTTCGTTTTATGTAACATTTCGTTTGGTGATTAAAAGAAGTTTTTTTTTTTAATTTTTCCTGAACTTTCTTTGCTATAAACCTCACGAAGCCCGAGACCTTTCCAACAAAAGCAAAACCGTGGAAATCGGTTCGTGCGTTCTGGAGTTATAGGGTCAG